TCTTTAATATCAAAATCAAAACACAAACTTGGGAAAGCACTGTATGTTCTTCCCTGTGCCTCTTTCTTCCCACAGCAGTTTGGTGTTTGTGTTTTATTCAGTGATCAACGAAGCTGCCGTTCTGAGGAAGCACAACCTGTTTGAGGATAACCTGAGCGTGCCCTGCGAGAGCGTGTCCAGCCTGACGGAGCTGAGGACCCCCGTGGGATCAGCACAGGGCACCCCCGCCAAGGCACCCGCAGCTCCCCGAGCCGAGGGCTCGGACACCGAGAGCCACGGGGACGAAACGCTCGTTGTGACAGGGAAAATCGTGTGGGAGAAGGATGCTGATGAGGGGAAGTCACCAGACAAAGAGGCAGGCGCCTCTGTTGGTGCAGCTGGTGATCAGGCCAGCAGGAGGGAAGCAGTGGCTGTTACAGACATTGGTGACAAACAGGAGTCGCCTTCGGCTGGCCACACTAAACAAGGAGCTGCAGAGGGAAAAAGTGCATTGGAGAATGTATCAGAGTGTGTAGTGAGCACTGAGGGAGAGCTCAAGGCACAACAAAAAGCTGTGGAGGAAAAAGTAGCTTCTGGGACTGACACTGCAGTAAAAAATTTTGAAGCTAGCCCTAAAAAAGAACTGAAGGTACCTGAAGGAGCCGTGGAGGAAGAGGTGCCTTCAGAGAGTCAAACAGTAATGGCTGCTGTGTCTGTCAGTGGCACTGAGAAAGCAAGCACAGCACAGGAGAAAGTTTCTGAGATAAAGCTCACTTTCCCACCTGAGAGTGTAACAGATACAGAGATTTTAGAGAGTGCAGAAAAGAAAAGCAAGGTAGAAAATGAAACTATGGGAAAATTATGTCAGAGTGAAAATATACTAGGAACAGGGTTTGAAGGGGATAGTAAAAAAGAAGGTGGTGAGAGTACTGAGACAAAGATCGTTTCCCAGGATGAAAAGACAGGGAAAGCAGAGTTTGGGGATAGTCCTAAAAAAGAAAGCCATTCTGAAGAAAAGAGTTGTAAATCCCCCGATGATGTGAATGAGATAAGGAGTTTGCTGATGCTGACAGTTGAGATCCCAGCAGATACTCCAGCTGAGAACATAAAGGAGGTCTGTGAGGGCGAGCTGCTGAAGTTGCAGGAGCACGGTAATGGGAACTACGAGTTGAGCCAAGTGGCCGTGGCAGAAATTCAGGTGAGCCAGAAGGCGAAGAGTGGAGATGCAGCAGAATGTGTGGAGTTCAGGGAGGAGCGATCGTCCTCAGCCAGCCTGGGGACAGATGGTACGAGGGTAGAGAGCGTGCCCAGGGGGGCACAAGCACCGTGGCTGGTGGAGAGCTGGGCTCCGCCTCAGGAGGCAAAGGCAGAGGTGGAGAGCAATCCAAGTGCGTGGTACGCAGGTGCGGGAGGGGAGAGGCTGCAGCCAGAGGAGCACACGGGAAACGCGGTGGATGGGCAGGAAGGAGCAGGGAACAGCCACGCTGTCCCGGGGGAGGCTGGGACACAGAGCTCCTTTCCGAGCCCTGCTGCAGATGCAGCCACGAGAGACGTGCCCATCCTGGACAGAGCAAACCCGGGCCCCGGACTGCTGGAGCCGGTGTCCCTGGAGCCGCAGCCCAGCGCAGAGCGCACGGCAGACACGGAGCCTGGGCGGCGAGAGGGGGAGCCGGGAGATCAGTCCTCTTCCCTCGCAGGAATTCAAAGCACCGGAGGAAAAGCGATTGTCCCAGAAGAACACCGAGAAGATGGTCCTGCACAGCAAAAGTGTGAGGAGTAAAGAGCAGCTTTCAGCCCAGCCCTGCAGGACCTATTCACTCCAGTAATCCCTGTGCAGTTTTGAACACTCCAGTTTTGAACACTCGTTCGAAATGCGCTTTGCTGTGGTGTCCCCAGCTCCTGCAGGTTTCCCGCGAATCCCTTCCTGAGGGATGGGTGATGGGTTTCCTTTTGGTTAAAACTAGATTACTGCTGAGGAATCGCGTCTGTCACTTCAAATCTGCTCCCTTTTAAAGCTAGAGAAAAAGTCTGGAAATGTGACCACTGAATGCTTCAAACGCCCAACTATCATCAATTTATTTTAACAACTTAGCTGTTCTTAGGGATCCTCTTGGTTTTTAAATGCATGGTTTTGACAAGTACCACTCTGATTCTGGTGGTTGGTACATACATACTCGAGGATGCTTTTAGTATTTGCATGCAGTATACAGGAAATAAAAACATTTTTTGGTAGTAAACAGAACCAAATAGTTGATTTAGTAGATTGCTGAAAAGCCACACTGTGCAAAATCTGCAAACTGATTACTTCATTATTTTCAAGTTTTGGCAGATATCAAAGACAAGCAAATATTCTGATTTTTATTTTTTTTTCTCTCTTATTGCTGTATTTAAAAAGGGGAAAGTATGGGAGCAGGTTTCTCAGTCCCACTCTGCACTTCGGGGTTATTTAGCCTTCCAGAGCACTTTATGGCTATTTTGTTTTGTTTTGTTTTATGGAAGGGAGAGAAGAGGATGTTTACAATAACTATCACCATTAGGCAGCATTTCTCTGGTTTAAATCCCACCATAAAATAGATTCACTCACAGCTATTTCATACATAATATTGAGTCCTGCCATTCCCATTCCCATGGAGTTACTCAGGTCTGTAGACCTTCTTAGGTGTAGAAATCATGTAATAAGTGGCAACAATTGTGAAATACTGGAATCATTGCATCTAATTTCTAATGCAGATGTTAACTGAAGTGGCAGGCAGCCAGAAATTGTTTTTCATGTGCTTAGATTTGGAGGGCAGAATCACATCACAAAAGCAGTTATTAAAATGAGACAGTTGCTTTCATACACGTGATCTGTATCAAGCCGTGATCTTGGCACAGCGTCGCTTAAACGTGTTCTTTGCATCTCAGTTTGCACAGAAAAACTTGGAGGTGAAACCCAGTATTTTTGTAAATTGGCCTTTCAAATGCAAGACCTCACTTTAGAGGTCAGTTTAAGGCACCTTGAAATTCTGGCCCGGTGTTTTGAGCCTGTTTCTGAATGCCATGCAGTGCAGGACAGCAAATATTAATTATAATTGCAGCAAGGAGTGCAGGATTTATGCCCATAAAGACACGGGGAGAAATAACCAAGTCCCAGGAGCATAGTATGTGTTAGCATTTAACTTCAACAAACTGTGCAAAGTCTTTTAATGCTATCAAAATATTCTTTAATACTAACAGAAAATTGACACTAGAAGAACAGGCAAATATTACTGTGCGAGGAAGGAACCTTGTTGAGTAACTGGATTAACTACTCTGTCACTACAGTAAAATAAATGCAGTTCCTATTTATTGTAGAAGCTGTACTGTGGTATGGAAACATGAAGGTCACAGATGTCTTCCTTGCAGAAGTACTTTGACTCGTTTCCTCCTTATATTTCATGCAAAAATACTAATTTGGAAATATACAAACCACTGCCAGCCAATTTTTTTTTTTTTTTTTACAAATCACTGGTTATTTCGCTGTCAGCTGCTTCACTTTTACAAATCATTAACTATTTTTAATTGGTACTGTGTTAAGTGATTTCAAATTTATAAAGTGCCCTAGAGTTAAGCAGCAGCAAGCAGCCTTTTAAAGCTAAAATTAGGGGACATTATGGGGTTTTAGTACTTTTTTTGTATGAAAGACAGCATGGCAGCAAAAAAGACTGCAGCCTCCTGCAAAAGGAAACTAATTCATTCTATTATGAATTAGATACATCTGTACAGAGAGCATTTTGCATAAGTATTTCCATAATGGTAATTTTGGAGTTATTTCTGTGGCAGGCCTAGATCTGGGTAATATTTTCCTGTGATACGTGTTGCATTGCTGAATGCAGATGCTCAGATGTTTTTCACCAGAAAGATGGGTAAGGATGGGGAAGATTCAGCCCGTATAATTTAAATTGCAGTTCCTCATGGCCAGGGAACTTTTTTCCCGGTTTTGGGCATTTTCTGCCCGTTTGCAAATGGATACAGTAGTGCTTTTCTAGTCTTTACCACAATTAGAAGCGACAGCTTGGTTAGAAGAGCTCAGCAATCTGCAAGGTTACGTGGGACCACTGATCAGGAATTATAATAATGCAGCCATTCCGTTGTTTTTGATGCTTTCTTGCCGTTTCCTTCTCAGACCGTGAGCGGTAATAAATCGCCTCCCACGGCCGAGGGTCGGTGCCCTGAGGGGAGCGGGCTGGGGCGCGGAGCTCCGTGGGGTTCCCACCGCTAAGGGCCAGGACGTGAAACACGTTGTATTTGCTTGGAACTTTGTACGAACGCTTGCCGCGGAAATAAAGACGCTCTTCCCTTCCATTGCTGGGAGGCTGCTTTTGTGAGGGTGTGATAATTTGGGGGATTTTATTAAAGAAACGTTCCTCAGGTAGCTGGGAGTGACGGCGGTGATCCCAGCAGGGAGAGGGGAGTTTTTAGCGGAGCAGGGAGTGACAGCGTGGATAATTTGGGGGATTTTATTAAAGAAACGTTCCTCAGGTAGCTGGGAGTGACGGCGGTGATCCCAGCAGGGAGAGGGGAGTTTTAGCAGAGCAGGGAGTGACAGCGTAAGGGGGAATGGCTTCAAACTGAGTGTTGGATTGGGTACTTAGGAGGAAGTTCTTCGCCGTGCGGATGGTGAGGCCCCATCACAGGGGGCCCACAGAAGCTGTGGCAGCCGATCCCTGAGCGTGCAAGGCCAGGCTGGACGGGGCTCTGAGCACGTCGCTGCCCACCCCGAGCTGCTCTGCACAGCCCCTTCCCTCCCGAGCCGCTCCGGGCAGCGCCTGAGGGAGCGCACGGGCGGGGCGGGGCGCGGGGCATGCCGGGAGCCGTGTGCGGGCGGGGCGCGGGGCACGCCGGGAGCTGTGGTTCCCCACCCTTTGTCCACGTCGACCCTCTCGTTACGCGTCCCCTGCCGGCTCACGTGACCCGCGCGCCGCGCTCCTCCATTGGCCCGGCGGCGCGCGCTGGGGGGGGCGGTGCCGGAAGCGGCGGCGGCGCGAGGCCGTTTCCTTGGCTACGCCCCCGCGGGCGCGCGCGGAGGGGCCGGGCCGGGCCCTTCCTGCCCCGGGAGCGGCGATGGGCCCGCAGCGGGACTAGCGGGCACCCGGCCGGCCGCCATGGCCCTCAGCGGAGCTCCGGGCTGCCGCGCCGGGGAGCGGGGGCCCCGCTGGAGGAGGCCCTGGAAGCTCCTGGCCCTTGGCCTGCTCTCCGCCTCCTCCGTGCTGGCGGCCGCCCCGGGCGCCGGGGCCATGAGCAGGGAGGAGAAGCGCCGGCTGGGGTGAGCGCAGGGACGGACGGCGGGCGGGAGGGAAAGAGGGAAGGACGGCGGGCCGGGCCGCGCGGGGCAGGGGTGTGCGCTGCCCCCGGGGCTGGGATGGGCTGGGCGGCAGCGGGTGCAGCGCTTCGGGACGGCGTCCCCTGTCCGTCCGTCCGTCTGCCCCGAACGCTGCAGGGGACGCGTGGCGTCGGTGCCCAGCCGTGCTGGGGCTGCGTGTGCCGGAGCCTGGCGGGTGTTTCGGGCCAGCGCACCCCGCTGCTGGGGACGCGCGGCCCCTTCCCCGCTGTGGGGTCAAGCCATGGACTCGCAGCTCGCCTTGGAGGTTCCGGGCAGGGCTTGCGTGGGGCTCGGGGTGAAAGCCAAGGCAAGTGCAGATCCCCACTGGGCTGGTTGAATTACGGCCCCGCCGCTGTGAGTGCGGGAGTCATAAAAAAGGCAAATGTTTACGTGTGTTCTGCCTGGTTCCTGTATGTAACCCAGACTGCTCCGGTCCCCCTGCACGTACGTGTAAGAGGCTGAGTTTTTTACCGTAGTTTTTAGTTGAAGGATAAATATTACAAAGTGTGTGGCAATACATTTTCCTGCGTGGAGTGGGATTTTTTTAAAACAAATTTGCAATCAAAGAATTTTGTCTTAGTATGTTTCTGAGGCAGTTTCATCGTCCTCTTCCCATCCAGTGGTCAGTTGTACAGCACAATAACACAAAAAGTCTGCTGGAGAAGCAGTGTGGATACTCTCACAGTTGTTAATCGTGGAGTTGTTAAGGTTGGAAAAGGCCTCCAAGATCATCAAGTCCAGCTGTCGTGTATAAGTTGATATTTAACTCCAGTGTTTACAGTTACTGGGCTTTTCCATTATGGGCTCTCAGGATAATTTGTGTGTGCAGTGTTTTATATATGTTTTCTTCACGAGGCTACACAAGGAATTGAAACTTCATTCCCCAATTTGTTTTAAAAGTTTTGCATTGCACTTGAAGTATCATCTGATGCTCCCAGCCTGTGCAGGCCATGTCCTGCTGTGGTTTGTGTTTGCCTGTAAATGTAAGTTTTAAGCAGTTGTCTGTGTGCTGCATCACCCAGCAGCTCTATGTGTTTGTCTGGGGTTTTTTGGCTGCTGCTACCTGAAAGGCACTTGGGAAAAGCACCATCCTCTACTCTTTTGATGCCTTAATGCACTTAATGAGTTAAAACTACTTCTTGAATTTCCAAGTCATTGAACTAAATTGGATATTTACAATATAATTGTGGTGTTCCTAGCTCTTTTATGTTCTGTCTTATCAGCAGAGATTGTGAATTATGTTGATGGTAGAAATTAGCATCCTTTATTCCTTGCAGGGCTCCTTAGTGAAACAGTTAGGAATGATCAGAAGTAGTGCTGTGTCCTAAAAAAAACAATGTGGTTTTTTGGGAGTTTTTATGTGTAGAAGCATTTCTGTCCTTTCAAACATATGAAACAAATGTAAGGGTTTTCTTTAGTATTTGCTTGCCAAGAGATCCCCAAATAATTTCGTGTTTGGTGAAGAAAGAGTCTTTCCTTTCTGGAGTGGACAAGAGTAGCTGAATCAAGAAAAATCATTGTTCTATATTTCATTTACTTGAGTAGAGTATGTTAGTAGAAGATCTGTGCCTGCCATTCAGACATTAAAGTGATACATGTAAGATGGTGTGTTAAAGGCCATTGGGAGACAGACCACTAATGCTTTTTCTTTTTTCTTTTTTAGAAATCAAGTGCTTGAAATGTTTGATCATGCATATAGCAATTATATGGTAAGTCAAATACTTGTTTGGTGTTTTTCGGAGGAGTTGTTGCTGACCTAGGGGAGAAAGCAACCTACAGTACATGACTTTCTATAGAAATATCTGGGAAGGAGTGGTGAAAATGGAGCTAAAATAAACAGCACCTATAGAGCCTTTAGAAAGACCACAAGTATTACCTTCTGGAGGGTTGTGATGGCTTTTAGAGTGGTAACTAAGAATTCCTTGTGGTAACTTTCCTAATCCATGCCTGACCTTTCCCAAACCAGTTCATCTCATGTCAGGCTACCAGCAATAAAGTATTTGGTTTGAAATTCTGGGAAAAGGAAGTTTGGAAGAGCTGTCTGTAGGCATTAGATTCTGGAGAACACAAATTGATCTTACTTATTTTGTAGGTAAAAATGACATTTAATATTTCTTCAGTGGTAAGCCATGTCAGATGCAGTTTGGGTGCTCTTCTACAAACTGTTTGTGGAAGAGAAAGGGAATCTGGTGCCATATCCCAGGCATTCCAGGCTGTGCCCAGGGTGTGACTGTCATATGACCATGGGCCTTGCTGGCTGTGGTTTCTTCTGCTCTGACTTGTGATTCCTGTGCAGGTGTCCCCCTGTTCTGGATCTCTGAGCCATTCCACACACCCTGGGCTGGCTCTGTTTACAAAAGCTTAACAAAAAATAGTTACTTGGAGTGGACTTCCTCAAGTAAAAATTACTTTCAAACATTCTGTAAGTAATACACTTCTGAGGAGAAAGTGTGGATGTGACTAAGATAAATATAAAATATTAATTCTTACTGGCTTCATGTGGACATTCTTGCACATTCTTTGTGGCTGTTACAGAAACCCCTCTGAAGTTGCATCAGTTCCTGCAGCACAAACTGCTGTTTCCCTGCAGCATCTTGCCACATGTCCCAGGTTGTGTGTTATGGTTTAAACTGTAATGTGTAATTCAAACTTAAAATCTCAGGAGTTAAAACTTCATACAGCGTGGGAGAGATACAGGGCTGTAGAGTGGACAGAAAGCCAAGCCAAGAGGATTTTCAAAGGGGTGCAGTTTCTCCTTTTAACTTAAGCTCTGTACTTTTGAAACCTTTAGCAGTTAAACATCAAGGCTTTTTGGTCATAATTTTTGTAATCTGGTTCCATGAAAAACACTTGGCTTGGATTTCTTCAATGGAAAACTTATGTGTTTGGCAAAATTGGATAAAATATTACAAGGAGCTGTGCTTCTACTGTTCATTGTGTGATAAATTGGCAACTGGAGGGGTCTTGCCACATCCGAAGCAAGAAAATTCTGTTTGAAGGAGAGAGAAAACTTCAGCTGTCCTGGAAACTTTGAAGCCAAAAGGATATTTATTTGCCACGTATGCTGGAGCACTAAACAAACAGAGAAATGTGACTTGCTTGTTTAAAGTCAAAGAAAAGATTAGAGTACCAGACTTGATTCTGACAACAGGAGAATGAAGTATTTTTGCAGGTGGTTTTGAAACAGCCAGCTGAAAAGTTTTGATTTTCTGTTTCTATTAATGTGTATTTTAGACATGCATATTTAGAAGACTGAAAATTCATGTTTGATTGCAAGGGAAATTCCCTTGCCTTTTTTTTTTTTTTAAGTTGTTAACAGAATCTTTGAGAAAAAGCTGCTGGGTTTTTTTTTCAGTCCATCAACAGCATTTGTAATAATGGGGATGTTTTTCTTCTTGGCTGTCAGAACATGTGAAAATGTCAGTCGCTTGAGGCCAGTGACAAGTTGGGAAATAACTCAATCCAATAGCTGCTTATTCTCTGCTGTAGGCTTTTATTTTTCAAAATGCATCAAGTTCTTTATTTGTAAAGTTAAAAGTTTATTTTTCCAGATTTTTTATCATTTATCCAAAATTTAAGTCAGAGATTTCAGTTTTGACATTGCTTTTGTTGTGGACTTCTTTAATCTGTTTTTCTGAATACTTTGCAGAGATATTCAGAAACATCTAAGCTGTATTAAAATGATCTAGATTCTGCCTTTTGTAGTTAAACTTGAGGAGAACAAAGACTTGAGCAAAGACCAAAACACTCAGGAGGGTGGTATACAGGGAAACAAACCATCAGTTTCAAAAGAAGTTGCTGTAAGAGCTGTTTATTTATAGAGGAATGTTCTTTTTTTATTTTTATTTCATGCTTGAACACAGATTATTTTTGTTCCATATATTTGGAAAGATTTTGAATGTGTTTACTTGCAGTTTCAGTGCAGCAATTGAAGTTTTTTATCCTGCCACATAGTTAGTTCACTAGAAGTCAAACTGGAGACCTCAGTACAGCAGCCAGTTTCCTGCTGAAATTAAGAGAAAAGCTCTGTCCCAAACCACTTGTGTTCAGTTTCTAAAGGAGGCAATTTCATGTTAACTGGAATTAGATATATTTAAGATTCATTGTCATTGATGTCAGTCTTATATTTGTTACATTTGTAAAAGGCTCAGTCTTGTTAGGGGTTTGGTGTTTTTTTTTTTTTTGATGAATGTTATCTTTTATGTCTTATGTGGTTATTCGTCAATGTTTTGTTTGAACTTCTGAGTTCTCTTACCTGTCACTGACTGTCACCCTCAGCCAGGTGAGTTCATTGTGCAGAGTCCAGTGAAAGGCCATCAAGGTGATGGAGAAGCTGGAGCTTCTTCCCTGTAAAGAAAGGCTAAGGGAGCTGGGGCTGTTCAACCTGGAGAAGGGGAAGCTCCAGGGAATTTAACAAGGGAGAGAGCTGGGGCTGTTCAGCCTGGAGAAGGGGAGGCTCCAGCGAGTTTAACAAGGGACAGGAAGACAGCCAGGCTCTTCTCAGCAGTGCTCAGAGGAAATGGGCATAAACTGGGCTGCAGGAGGTTCCCTCTGAGCAGGAGGAAACACTTTTACACTGTGGAGTTGACCAGTACTGGCACAGGGTGCCCAGAGAGGCCATGGAGTCTCCCTCCTTGCAGATGCTCAGGAGCTGTCTGGATGTGGTTCTGGGCAGCTGGGTCTGGTGGCCCTGCTCCAGCAGAGGGCTTGGACAAGATGAACTCTGGAGGTCCCTTCCCACCTGCCGGGCTCTGTGATGGCCATGCAGGTTTTCTGAAGAGCAGCATGATGAGGATTCCTTTTGCAGGCTCCCAAGGGTGGCTGTGAGCACTGTAACTGATTCCCCTGTTTTGTTCCCAACAGGAGCATGCGTATCCAGCTGATGAACTCATGCCTTTAACTTGTCGTGGACGAGTGCGGGGTCAGGAGCCAAGTCGAGGGGATGTGGATGATGCCTTGGGAAAGTTAGTGTCTGAAATGGTCACCGTAAACATCTAGGAATAGAAGTACAATTGGCAGCCCATAAAACTTGTTTGTTCAGTTGATATGGCCAGAAACTTACACTTGAAAGAAGTGTTTTTATTATTGTGAAGTTAACTCGTGTGAAATTGGACCTTAATTAGAAGAAGAGAATTGACCAGTGAATGAGATCCAAAGATTTTTTTTAACCATTCTCCCAAGTATTTTCCATAGGAAAACCTTCCAAATGTGGGCTTACATTTATGGTATTAGTAGTACAGGTTATAAGGGTTAATGTTGTGCTGAACAGGACAAAAAATTCTTTATCCATAATGCTGGCCTAATAAGTGATATTTAAAGTGCTTTTTTTAAGTAGAAAGTTTTCTGAAAACAAGCAGTCAAATGATTATCATGTGTGTGATAGCTTGAGGCCTTTGTCAAAGTATAAAACATTATTTCAGACATGGAAAAGTTTTCTATTCTTTCTTTCAAGGGAACTGGTAGTACAAAATACTGATCCTTTGGCTAGCAAAATGTAGATTTAAGGACTGTTTTTTTCCATGTCAAAGGCAAAATTGACCTACTCTAAATGCATTTGTAATTGATACCTTTGAATATGTGCAGTTCATAGATCAAATTCTTTCATAACAAACAGCTGATTTTTTTTAATATCACTGTTTAATGTCTGTAAGCACAATAGTGTTAATCAAAGCTGAAATCCTTCTCTTAAATACTGCTTCTAATTGTCTTTAGGATATTGAGCATGTTATTTTGGCTATGTTTTCTTATGTACAAATGCTTTTTAGTCTAGAGATTTCCATATAATCCTGCTGCCTTGGAGGTATCCAAAAATACACCAGATGAAAAGTGTCAAGAAAATATATTTTTAGTCCATTCTTTTTAATGACCTTTTCTAAAAGTAACATACTAGCATTTGAGTAAAAATACCTTCTAGCCCCTTGGATGCATTAAATTATTATATGTATTTATTGTTTTTCTGTATACAGGCTTTATTCTGTACCTTATAATCAGTTACATTATTTGTAGCAGATTGCTTATCTAATCCTTTTTCTTGCCAGCTGCCTCATCAGTTGTGTTCTCTGCCAGTCTTTGCAATCACAAAATGACAGGGTGAGGCAGCTGGGTCAGTTCTGTTTCCCTGGAGAACTTAGGAGCCTTCCATGTAGATGTGAAATGCATCATTTCCCTCCTTTTGTACTGAAAAAGTAGTGAATTTGTTAGGCAGTTGTGCATAGTCGTTAGTTAATCTCTGTCTCCTGTAAAACATCACTCACAGAATGCCCTTATATCTTTACAAATTAAAGACAATTGTAATATAGGAATGCTTAATTAGAATTGTGGTTGTCACATGTTGCCTACATGGTTTCAGTCATTGGGCACTTACTGAAATCCTTGGTGTGTGCTCCTCAGTGGGCAATTTTAACTGTTCCAAAGTGTTCAGTTTTAACACCATCATGTTCTGTAAATTCTATTATGTGTTGTGGGTGTGTCTTAGCATAGGAGCAGTTGTTGGAATTAAACATGTTTAAGATACAATTACAGATATAATTCCTGGGATGGGGAAAGATCCTCTCAGCCTGGGATACACTGGAACAGCCCTGGAGAAAACCTCTGATCCTTGTTAGGATCGTGTGTTTCAGACACTGTGGAGCTGACTTGATGTTCTCTTTTCATGGAATAATCACAGAATCCCACCCTGGTTTGGGTTGGAAGAGCCCTTAAAGCCCATCCAGTGCCACCCCCTGCCATAGGCAGGGACACTTTTCACCAGACCAGGTTGCTTTGAGCCCTGTCCAGCCTGGCCTTGGACACTGCTAAAATAGTTCTTTATTTTAGAATAAATAAAGTAGTTCTTTATTTTAAGCCTGCCACTTGCTAGTGTTGGAACAGTTTCTGCTATGAGAAATTTAGCTTGGAATGGCTTTTGATCTCAACATTTTTCCTTTTTTTTGAAAAAACAAGTGAAACAGAGGCTGGAAAACAACTTAAACTTTTATGCTGGGTTTCCTGATAGATTTGACTGGAGACAAGAAATAAAAATTTAATTTGCTTACCAGAAGTTAGAAAGCTTTGCAGTAAATAAATGTATCTGTAATTATAGCTTCTTTGTCAGCTCCTATTCTGGTCACTAGCAAAGGGGTGAAACTCAGAAAGAGGTTTTGATTCTAAAGATGTTGAGTACAACTGATTGTTTTGCAGCTGGTGGTCTGTGAGAATTTAGTTTCTTCCCTGCTATCAGTTACTATTAAAAATCACTTAATTGCTACACATACAGATCTATAGTAAATCTGGTTTTAATTTTCTTTCATAGGTTTTCACTGACCTTAATTGATACTTTGGACACTCTTGTGGTAAGCTTAATCTGTTGATAAACTTTGATAAAACAAAGGGATTGTCTTCTGATGCTCAGACTTATTTTTAGATTTCTTTTTCATGACTGTTGATCTGTGGCTCTGTTTGAAGTGACTGTTGCTTGTGGGAACTTTGAAGTGCTGTGAGGATGGAGTTTGGAGTTGGTTGTAATAACTACAGCAGTTCCTTCACATTTCATTGATACTTTTTTATATTGCATTTTTTTGGCTCTAACTTAACACAAAAGGGTTTGCTTACCCTTATAGTCTAAAGCAAGAGGCTCCAGTAGGGGTGGGCACCTCTTAATAACTACTGATGTATTTCTGGTTTAAATTGTATGTTTATATTTCTTGGGTAACTTTGCGTGCACTGAAATATCCTGTATGCAAATACACTGTGACTGCATTAGCTATACTGGAACTGAACACCTGCTCACTGTTGTATTCCAGGTGTTAAATAAAACCAAAGAGTTTGAAGAGGCTGTAAAAAAAGTAATAAAGGATGTTAATTTAGATAATGACATAGTTGTTTCTGTCTTTGAAACCAACATAAGAGTCCTTGGGTGAGTAACTTTTGTTTTCAAAACTCCTAAAAATGTGGATCTTAGGCAGTGTCTTTAAGGCAGTGTCTTTCTGTGCTATTCCACCTGTTTGAAATAGTTGTGCCTTTGTCAGTTTGCCTGAGAGTGGTTTTAAAATGCAAGGCAGGACTTGCTGCAGTGGTGTTGGATCAAGCTGCCCCCATCTCACTGCTGCAGGCACAGCTTTGCTGATTAAGAACCCCATGTGCATGCTGAGGGAGCAGGGGGTTTGCTTTAGAGATACAGGCTTGCAAATGCCTCTGTTCCATACCTGATTTACCACATTTTAATATCTGGGGTCATGGATTATTTCAGTTTGGAAAGGACTCTGGGGCTCAATGCAGAATCAGAGCATGTAATTTCAAGTTATTATGTGCCATTTTGCAGGTCTTGGTTGCCATTCCTGTCTAATATTGATGAATCTATGAATCCAATGATAAACAAGAAGAAATGCTTCCAAATTACTGGTAGCTAACCTTGATTATAATGGGAATTGAATCAGCAGTCTAAAAACTGGAGTCACAGTTATGTACATGTCATCTAAATTGTAGAGAGCTGTCCTTGCTGTTCAGATGAACATACCTTTTGAGATGTGGATAATTTCTCTTGTGTTTAGAGGTCTCCTAGGCGGGCACTCAGTGGCAATTATGCTGAAGGAAAAAGGTGAATATATGCAGTGGTACAATGGTGAACTCCTGCACATGGCAAAGGAACTGGGCTACAAGCTTTTACCTGCTTTTAACACCACTAGTGGTCTCCCTTATCCAAGAGTAAGTTCTGTTTCTCTAATGCAGGATTACAGCTGTAATCACAACTTCTGTTGTTTTGATTTCGTATCTGTTTCCAAAATCATTTCTATATTTATTAAGTGGCTGGAAAATTGAAAGCTGATAAATTGCAGGTTAGGAGCCAGGAGTAGTGAGATATTTAAAAAACTAAATTTCCAGGAGCACTTGTGATGTTCCTGATTTGTTGCTAAAAAAATTATCAGATTAGATTTTTAGAGTGTATTCTCTTATTTAAATGTCTAGTGAACCAGGCAACAGGCTCTTGTTGGGGAGGGTTGATACTTTGAGTATTTGTGGATAGTTCTCTGTACATGTCTAAGTAGGCAGAGGAAAAACCAAAGGGATCTGTTTTTTCTCTGTCTTTAGAAAGAGCATAGATTATATACTTGCTATACAATCATAGGAGTGTAAATTCTTTCAGCTAGTAAAAATAAATATGTTAATCTCTATTTTTCTCTAGGTTAACTTAAAATTTGGTGTAAGACATCCAGAAGCACGAACAGGAACAGAAACTGATACGTGTACAGCTTGTGCTGGTACCTTGATCCTTGAGTTTGCAGCTTTAAGCAGATTCACAGGAACATCTGTATTTGAGGTTTGCTTTCCACAACATCTTAATTTTTGCTGTAGGTCTTTAGTGTTGTGTTTACATTTTGTAATTTTTGAAAAACAATTCTAAGTTCATTAAATGGATGTCTCAGCTGTGCTGCACAAAAACATTTGTATATGTTGAGATTTGTAGTGTTTGTGGGCTTTCTTCTAAGATTTTATTTCTTTTGAATCATTTTTTCAATCACAGGAAATAAATTTGGTTGAAAATAGAGTAATACAGAAGTAAACAAGATAAATATTCTGAAGATTAGAAAGAGATCTGAAATTGCTAGACATGAAACATCCTCTTCCTTTCCTGGCATCTTAACTGAAATAGCCAGAAGAATCAGGGAGTTCAGTGTGTGTGTTTCCCTAATTCCCTGTTGCTGTTGTTGCAGGAATATGCCCGGAAGGCTCTGGATTTTATCTGGGAGAAGAGGCAGCGCAGCAGCAACTTAGTGGGGGTCACCATTAACATCCACACTGGAGACTGGGTCCGCAAAGGTGGGGCTGACCCACGGCCAGGGGGCCTCAGCCACCCCCAGCTGAAAGATACACTGCTGAAAGATGTTACTGCCATAGGCAGTGGAGAAACCTGCTGCCCCAAAGCCTGGCTCTGCTCTCACAGAGCAAGGCCCTCTCTGGTAGAGAAGGGGGTTTTATTCATGGCAAAGTGTTCCCTGATCTCTTTAATGCCAAGAGGGAAATGCCTTGGGATGAATTTTCAGAGACTTTGCTATAAATACATGGGGAAAATATAAATAGGCTGGGAAAAGTGATGTCCTGTGAAATAAGTGTCTTCAGTGCATGTCTGTCCATGTTATTATGTGCACTGGTAGTACAAAGCCTTTGGCATAGACACACAGTATTGTGTCTCTGCTTCCATCTGTGCCTTAATCCCAGTGAAAGGAGATTTTTCCTTTCACTGGAAGAGCCTTTAAAATCAAAGTGGGAAAATGTGGAAAATACCCATATTGCTACATAAAGTAAACCCATCTTTTTATTTTCACCTGTTCCTAGACAGTGGAGTTGGAGCAGGAATAGATTCATACTATGAATATTTATTAAAAGCCTATGTCTTGCTGGGAGATGACAGTTTCCTGGAAAGATTTAACACGGTAAGTTAACACCTTGCTCAGGTTTGTGCCTTCTGCAATACAAATTTCAGAGTAATTGTGTTGTCAGCTGTTAGGCTGAGAAGAGATCTTTAGTAACATTTCTGTGACTTCTGCTGTGTTTAGTGCCAGCTCTTTTTACTGAGGGTTTTTGCTAATCTTGGGTGACTAGCTGTCACCTGAGCAGTTATTTTAAACCCATCCAGTAAAAATCAGGACCTTCTGGGCCTTTATCCATGTTCCCAGTATGGGAGAAGCTGTATTTCCAGACCAATACTGCAAATGTTTCTGTAAAAGAACGTAAGGCACTCTTCTTCCAAGCCATTGCACAATTTCATTCTGTCCTGGAGCAACAGAAAAATCAAAGTGTGGATCTTGCTTTGCACTGCAGATCTTCAGGCCCAGGATGCATTTAAGTATACAAGCTGAAAACCATGCTTAGGTTTTTTTTAATTCATAAATTACTGAGCAACTTGGTCAGCATCATAATTCTTTCACGAAAGCATTATTTATTTTGAAAATAGCAATATCCATTAAAAACGTCTTAGATCATAAAATTATTTATTATCATATAGCATGTTTTTTTTATTAGAAGTATTATATGGAATAATTCCATAGTTAAAGTTGTAATACTTTAGGTGTAATGATGATTTCATAGTCCTAAGGGGCAGCCCCCAGTGTTACATTTTCCTTGAGCTACATCTGTTAAGTGTTTCCTGGCAGTTTGGCTCATGTGCTCAGGATTGCACCTTCTGAAAACAAAGTTTAGGATTGGAAGTCAGCAACGTGGCAAGTGACCTAGTGGGTTTAGAAGTTCTTCTGAGCCATCCACTCTAGCTGCTTTGTGTGGGTTTTTTAACCTCCTTTTCCTCCTGAGATCCATATGCTTTGGAATTCTGTTGTACAGAGAAAGCAATTTCAGCTTTCTTTATAGGATGTGCTTTAAAATTCAGCCAAAACAAATGTGATATTCCTGTTTTATCACATGGCTGCTGGATATACTTTTGTGTATGTGTATTCCTTGGAAATGTGGTAAGCTTTGCAAGTGTAATACTGTGGAGCTTTTCAGTATTTACTACACTTGGTTTTAGTTTGCAAAACAAGAGATTAGAGACACTGCCAAATGTAGTAATGATTGGGAATGTAGTACTGGCTTTTCCATTCAAATACAGTGCTAGTCTGGTTATCTGTCTCTCTTTTGGAGAATGAATTGATACACAAACTCCTGCTTTTCTGATGTTTGGCAGCACTATGATGCCATAATGAGATACATCAGCCAGCCACCTCTTCTCCTTGATGTTCACATTCATAAACCAATGCTAAATGCTCGGACCTGGATGGATTCTCTGCTTGCTTTCTTCCCTGGATTGCAGGTGAGGTGTAAAACCCGTGTAGAGATGGTTTTAATAAGAAAGAAGTTAGTAGCTGGGTTTGGATATATGATTTTCAAGTCAAGCATAGTAATTTGATTTTCAAAAATGCTGAGGGAACATCCCTGGAGGTGTCCAAGGCCAGGCTGGTCAGGGCTTGGAGCAGCCTAGGCTAGTGGAAGGTGTCCCTGCCCATGGCAGCAGGTGGGCACTGGATGGGCTTTAAGGTTTTTTCCAACCTAAACCATTCTGATTCCATGATTTCTGTACTTAGTCTTCCAGTCACTTCAATGCTATGATGCAAGTTCATGTGCTTTTCTGGCTGTGTTGAGTATCAGGACAAGTGTGTTCCTGTAATTTGCTTCCTTCACTTCTAGTCATGAAAATACTGCAATTAAGCTGCCATTTTACTAGTAACTGGTTTTCTACTTTGTGTGCCATTGACATCTTTGAGATGAACTAAATGACATTTTCACTCCAGTTCTCTATAAAATGTCAGAGGTCCTTGTTCTACATGGGCAATAATTTTAATCAGTTCACTGATTTTGCTTAAAAACTCTTAAGGAGCAGCTGTAACTTAGGTTACAGCTAGGGATTAATAATTGCAATATGTAGTGACTGCTCTGTAGCTTTACATGAACACACCATGAGTGTTTTTAACCTTGAGTATTATTCCTGTGCTTGGTGAATTGTGTTACTTCTATTGTTTAATTTTAGGTGTTGAAGGGTGATATTAGACCCGCTATTGAAACACATGAGATGCTGTATCAGGTTATAAAAAAGCATAACTTTCTTCCAGAGGTAAGGTAGTAGTTTTTGATTTTTTTAATCAAAAATTTGTATATTTGATTGTATAAACTGATTCTTACATCAGTTTGAGCAGTTGCAGATGCCTGTTTTAAAAACCAGCAGGTATATATGTTATTAAAATCAGAGCCTCATTTCCACAGCTTACATGAATTGCAATTCTGCCTGTCTGACAGCTGAGAGGATGTTCTGAAATTTTGTATAATGTCTTTGAAAGTCAGCACACAAACTAACTGCAAATGCTGCAAGTCTTTGAGCAAGTCCACTGTGCACAGAAAAGCTTGTTTACCTGCTGAAGTGTATGTCTTTAATCTGTGATGACTCAGATTATATTTGAAAGCTTCTGACTCTGGGTTTAATTTTGACTTTCCTCTAGTGTAAGCTTATTTCTGTTAGAGAACATTTTAATTAACATCACATTCACCTAGTGTGGTTATTGAGAGCAAAGAATGCTAAGCACTGGAATGACTATTTTTTGAGGGCTTTTAAAATGGTATAATTTGGCTCTTTTGGGGTTTTTTGGTTGGTTTTTTTTGTGTTTCATGACTGTTTTTTTGAGGGCTTTTAAAATGGTATAATTTGGCTCTTTTGGGGTTTTTTGGTTGGTTTTTTTGTGTTTTGTACTTATGAAGGAAACTTTAAAAGGTCAGGTAGTTATATTTAAGTCAACAGACCATCCCCTAAGCAAAGACTTGTTTTAAACCTTATGTGAAATAGTGAATATATGACAGAAGTGGCTTTTCCCAGTGCACATTAAGAGTGAATAGATAGACTAGGAAATTTTTACATATCTGACTTCTAGCCTGTGGTATTAATTTAGAAACAGCTGCTTCACCATCTGTCAGTGTGCTGTGACACTTGACTGCCCTGGAGGTGTCAGGTGGTAGGTATGTTTGCAGAAATGGTGTTTATCAAAACTAGGCTGGTTATACAGTTAACATTGAATTCAATAGAATAGAATTCATAGAATTTGGTTTGCATTCCTGCATTTATTTTATTTTTGTCTGTTCCTTTTCATCCTCAGGCATTCACAACAGATTTCAGAGTTCACTGGGCTCAGCATCCTCTGAGGCCTGAATTTGCTGAAAGCACCTACTTCTTGTATAAGGTACAGTCACATTCACTCCTCTGACCTTTGAGCACTTTTTCTTGCACCTAGAGTTTTGTTGCTGTTTTATTTCAATACAGAATTGAGTAACATATCTCCAGCTTAACTTATTCACTGGACCCAGTTTAGGATATAAACAAGATGTAATGGTTATAATTTTTTTTTTGTTTTATTTCATAGGCTACAGGAGACCCTTACTACCTAGAAGTAGGAAAAACTCTCATTGAAAACTTGAACAAGTATGCCAGAGTTCCCTGTGGGTTTGCTGCAATGAAGGATGTTCGTACAGGAAGTCACGAAGACAGGTAAAGCTTGCACAATTATTTTTCTAAATATATAAACACAGAAAAAAATCAAATTTCCCTGTGTAATTGAATTAATTAAGATTTGAGGAGCTGTCTGTCTTCAGTCTGATAATAAAGCCTTAAATTACCTGTTTGTAATTGTGTTGAACTGTAAATGCTTTGAAACAATCTGTGCACTGTTTCAGTAGGGTTACAGGGTGCTCTAGAAGAATATTTTCAGTTTAATACCCTTTCATTTGTCTGAGAGCAGTAGATGAATTAACATTTGAGCTAAATATACTTCAAATCTGTAAGTTTGTCAGGAGGTTTATTTGTTTTTTTCTGTAATGCTGTTTTGTACAGAATGTGCTGAATCATTTCCCTCCAAACACAGCTTCTTCCAAGCAGAAGGAATGCTAATGGAATTATGTCCAGCAGTAATAGTCATGAAGTCTTCAGAGATGGAGAACTAGGAATATTTATTTTACTGATGTTCTAGAAGTGAGATCTCCCTAAAGGACATCCCCTTTTTCTCCACAGGATGGACTCATTCTTCCTGGCTGAGATGTTTAAATATCTGTACCTCCTGTTTGCTGATAAGGAGGACATGATTTTTGACATTGAAGATTATATCTTCACTACAGAAGCTCATCTGTTGCCACTCTGGCTCTCCACTACAAACCAAACCATCTCTAAAAAAAATACAGTATGTAACAGCTCCAGTCCAAATCAATTTCTGTGGTACACTTCCCTTTTTTGAGGGGAAATGGAAATAAAATCAGGAAAGATCCTAGTTTGAGGAAGTGCACCAGTTTGAACACGTTGTTTAATAGGCACTGTTTCATATTAACAGAGCAGTCACAAGAGTAGGAATAATGACTGGATTCTGCACTGCTGAACCTTGAGATAAAAGATAGGAATTATTAGCAAGATTCTAAAAGAAAATCATTCCCCACTTCTGTATAAATTGGAAGATAATACAGTAGGATATTTTGTCCCCATCTTTATTTTCTATTATTTTTTCTAAAACCTAAGGTTTTCTTGTTTGTTCTTGTGAACAAATTGAGAGGTTTTTTGAGACAGCTGTGGAGTTAATTTGACAAGATACAGCTGTAGACAGATTAGGGATGTTTAATCACTTTAGCCCATGCAGTAGGCACCTATTGCATAAATATGAGAACAGTTGTGGGTTTATAAATTACTTAACCTTCCAAAATAACCTGGAGTGATACAGCTGTGCCATGAAGCATCATAAATCCTCCCTTTTTTTTTTATGTAGTGGTCAACAAGATGACATAATTTGTCTGTAAGGCAATAAGAAAAAGGAAGAAGAGAAAGAGGAAATGATGTCTGAGACATCAAGGATAGAAATTCCCTTATTTGTGCCTCTATTTTTAACATTTTCTAAGAGTTTTAGAATAATGCCTGGATCAGAGGAAAAGGCTTATATTGTGTGTCAACCCATATATCCTGGAAAAATCACTGTTTGATGGACTTTAGCATTAAGCAGTGACAAATTTTTAGTTACTTCATCTTAATGTCAAACACTGGTTATGTTTTAATGGGTCCTGGGTTTGGTGTTAAATGTTCCTTCAGGGTAGAAATCCCACATCCTCTCTGAAATGTTCCTTCCCTGAGAATTTATCTTATTTGAATTTTGGAAATAGGCTGTTTTCTGAACTGAGCAAGAAATTTTCTGAAGGGTCTGAAGGAGCATTTTATGTAACTTTTTTTCCCAATGTAAGAATTTAATACCTTTGAGAGAGGCAGGGTTCCCACAGCCGGTGCTGTTTTAAGTGCTGGCCTTACTTGGTTTGTATTGAGAACTGCAAATGGTAATGAAGAGCCAGTAGAGAGAATAGAATAAGTTACTCAAATGGAGTTTTTTAAGCTCTTTGAGTCAAAGCTGCAAATGGGCATAATCCAAGTAAGAAAAACCCACTGAAAATGGTGTCAGGTGGCTGAAAGGCTGTGACGTCGGGTGTTCCTCTTTTATGGAATTTTATCTGAACAGATGGAATGTGTAAATGATTTTTAACATAAATACAGTGCTATTAAAACAAACTGTGAGAGAGATGCTTGGTACTATCAACCCAACATCCTGTTTGTATTTGCTGTCATAAACAAGAAAGGTCATGTCTTAGTAACAGCCCTTTAGGTCTTGGGTTTTAGGGAGTCTTTAAATACTTGATTTTTCATTGGCCAGTATGTTGCAAACAGGAGGGGTGAGTCTTTTCAGGGGATGGATAAATACTACATTAATTTTTATGGGTTATGAAATGAGCTTGCCTGTTACCTATAACCAGTTATTTGCTAAGCTAAGGACATGCTAAATGTGGCTCCAACCACCAGACATGTTCCACATGGTTTCACATGTTACAAACCAGCAATTTGTGCAGATGTTCACTCTGCCATCTCTCCTGAAAATAGAAATTGTTTGAATTATATAGAGATTCATCCTTGCTCATCCAGACTTGCAAGTCTTTGTGGCTCCTGAGGAGGAGAATCTTCTGTTCACATGAAAAGCTGTGACATTTTTAGTAAGAATGACCTAAAGCCTGCAGCTTTAAAGCCAATATCAGGTGAAACCAGAACTACTCCCTTTACTTGTCCAGCAGATAAAATACAGGGCACTGGCTTTGTCATGAGCAGGCTTGAGAAGTAGTGTCTACCAGCAGAGGATTAGCTGTTTCTGAAAAAAAAAATACAAATCTAGAGACTATATATAAATTTAGTAAATTACAGATTAGAATGAGTGTTGTATTCATCTGTCCAAGGGGTTGCAGTGCATTGGCTCCCTCCTATTGCACTCAGCCAGATGATTTAAGTTAGGATTATCTGTTGATGTTCTTCATGTAAAAACATAACCTGCATTTTTTTACTCTGTATCTTTGATTTTAGAGCACAGAGTACACAGAGCTGGACGACAGCAACTTTGACTGGACCTGTCCAAACACCCAGATCCTCTTCCCAAACGACCCCATGTTTGCCCAGAGCATCCGCGAGCCTCTGAAGAACGTGGTGGATAAGAGCTGTCCCCGGGGCATTTCCAGAGCGTAAGATGGGTGTTTCCTCTCTTTGTTAGCACAGCACTGAGTGGAACAGGCTCTGCTCTGCAGGGAGGGAGAGGCATGAGGTGTGCTGGAGCTGGCAGTTCTTTTGGGATGGGCCAAAGGGATGATTCCTGGTCACAGGAAAAATCGCTTTGGATTTCTCTCACATCCTCTGCAAAACTTAGTTTGTTTCCAGGTGGAATTAGCAAGTCTTTCAAAGCAAAAGGAGCTGAATGAACTTCATATCTTGGCTGCAGCTCCCACTTGGAGTATTGCAGGAAGTGTGTCTCTCTGATTTGTAATATAATTTCTGCAGTCTCCTAAAAAATTCTGAAAGTCTTCTTTGTAGCAAGGAAATTATGCTGCCACACATAACTGCACCCATTTTGAGGAATTTAGGGCAGTGTTAAGGCTGAGGAAGTTTGTCCTGCTGACCACCTCTTCTGTATTTGTGTTTAATGAATAAAACTCAGTATGGGGCAAACTGGGTTTGATCAGTGTTGCAATAATGTAGATTATATACAAGTGAGAGAGAGTATATAGCAGTTTTGTTATCAATACTTGGGAGGGAGGTTTTGTACTATAAAGTCATTACTTACATAGACAACTTTATAAAAAAGATAACTCGACTGAGAAGTTGCATTCCATTGAAGCTTGCACTCAGTGTACCAAGAATTCCAATCTTGTGATGGTAGGGATAACACTAGAGTCCTGTTTCAAGGATAATCTGATTTTTAAAGCTTTGATCTCTGATGTCTTTTGGCAGAGAAGAGAGTTTGGGAAGTGGACCAAAACCACCACTGAGAGCCAGAGACTTCATGGCCAGTAATCCTGAGCACCTGGAGATCCTGAAGAAGATGGGAGTCAGTTTGATCCATCTGAAAGATGGACGAGTACAACTAGTGCAGCACGCGGTGCAAGTAAGACGACCTGGCAGGATTTTATTATTTAGAGCTCTCAGCAAAGTCCTCCTAGCAATGATACTTGATACCTGGAGCTTCAGGAGGGACAGCCACCCTCTGGAAGGAGGCACATGGATAGCTGGATATTGTAGCTGTATTTAGCAGGCTGATGCTTGTTAATATTTTGCCTCTGCAACACTTTCAACTAATCTTCCACTAAATTAGGTAGAGGCTGCTCAGGTTGAAGTGATGGAGCCAACGGCATCTTGGCTGAAAACACTGCTTTCATTGTGAGATACTTCCATCTCTTTATGAGGTCTATATATTTTCAATTTCCTGGGTGGTGCAGGTGCTAAATCTTTTGTGAAATGATGCTTGAGTGCTTGAGCATCCACCCTCTGTGTTAAAGTCTTTGTAGCAGTGGTCCAGGCAAACACAACTTGAGTTTCTTTTCCCCGAAATTCCTCAAACATTTAAGATAAAATTGTTTATTGATTCCTTTCTGTGCAGGCAGCAAGTTCCCTGGATGCAGAGGATGGCTTACGGTTCATGCAGGAAATGATTGAACTCTCCAGCCAGCAGCAGAAGGAGCAGCAGCTCCCTCCTCGTGCTGTCCAGATTGTTTCCCATCCCTTCTTTGGCAGGGTAGTCTTGACTGCTGGGCCAGCACAGTTTGGGATGGACTTGTCCAAACACAAAGCAGGGGTATGTGTCTGTTCCTTTCCCTGTTGCACAAGCCTCAGCTTTACAGTACTGCTGTTGTTTGAGGGCATCCAGCTGATCCTCCAGGTGATCAGTTAATTACAGTGCTTAAAATGACAGGGCCCAGTGGTGACAATGACAGCGGTTACAGTATGGGGTGAGTGGCTTATCTGTCTCTGCTCTGCTCCTGAGTCATCAGCCATGGTTTAGGATTTAAAACACATGCACAGCATGAGTTGCAAAGCAAGCTTATCCAGTCTGCAGTGCACAGCTGAGGAGATGGTGATTTAGGGGAAGTTTCCCTCCCCTGTCAGCCAGGAGCTGGCAGAAGCTTTTTAGAGTCAGAGCAAGTTGTTCTAATGAAAGCTTTTCTAGATTGTAGATGGAAGAGGGCAATCCACAGAGGCAGGGGTCCCTGTGGGAAGCAGTAGGAAAACCCATGTTGCAGCCCCAAAGAGGAGTTCCAGACTGGCGGTTCACAGGAGAAAAATTTCCAGAGATAACACTTCCCAGGTGTAGACAAACCACATTGATTATGAGAATTAATTTTTCATTCAGTCATTCTTTGCTTCTAGAGCTCCAGTTTCAGGGCACAGATTGTCTGCACTGACACAAGACAACACTAAACGCAGTAGAATGACTGAAGGAACAAAAATACTTGGGAATCTTTCACAAGCATGACCATAATGTTCTAATTCTCTCTTTATTTTTGTTTTTTCCGTACAGACAAGAGGATTCGTTGCAACCATTAAGCCATATAATGGATGCTCAGAGATCACTAATCCTGAGGCAGTGAAAGAGAAAATTGCTTTGATGCAAAGAGGCCAGTGCATGTTTGCTGAAAAGGCACGAAACATTCAGAAAGCTGGAGCAATAGGAGGCATTGTCATTGGTAAATACAATTCCAAGTTCTTAATTTGTGGAAATGTAACCTAATTTTAAAGATTTGAAGATCCAGGGAAGCTGACAAGCTTTAAGCTGAGAAGCACAGCAATTGTGCTTTCAGAAGATGAAGAGATGTTTGGGGTTTGTCTTGTTCCGTGCAGACACAAATTGGAATGAGGGGTTGTTGGTGTTTTTGCAGACTAAAAGTTGTTACTTTAAGGATTGCAGGCTGCTGTGAGTACTAACTGCTGAGGAAGAATGGGGATAGAAATGAAAAGTGGAGGAAAACACACCAGGCTGGGATTTGCTGTGAAGTGACTGGGCAGGGGAAGCTGTTCCACGTTCAACTGATCTAACAGGAAGTTTGCCCTTCCCCTGGTGTTCTCTGCCTAGATGACAACGAGGGCAGCAGCAGTGACACAGCCCCCCTCTTCCAAATGGCTGGGGATGGCAAGAACACAGATGACATCACCATTCCCATGCTCTTCCTCTTCAACAAGGAAGGGAACATCATCCTGGATGCCATCCGGGAGTATGAGGCTGTGGAGGTGCTCCTTTCTGATAAAGCAAAAGACAGAGGTAAGGTTAGAGGTGATTTATGTAAATGTAGCTCCCCTCTGTGCTGTGGCACAGTGGAAAATGGACAGGAATGATTTGTATTGCAGCCCAGAGGTGCTGTGGTTTTCTCTTTGACACTGGAATTAGTTTTTTATTGAGCAAGCCATTTTCTGAGAGATATCATTGATATCCACTCCCCCCATGAGATAACACCCAGAAATGCTGTTCCTAAATGTCACTTTGGCTTATGAGAAAATCCAGCCTTTTGGATTCCTTTTGAACCTTTTTTTGTCATCAGCTGCTTTGAAGTAGCATCAGGAACAGCGTGTTTCCAGTGCCCTACATTGCGAGCATCTCTCCCTCAGCAAGATCCCCAGTGACATTCCTGGGACCCAAAAGGAGAGAGACAAGTGATAGAACTATTTTGCCTATCTGAGGAGAAGTGGTTAACATGAGAAATAAGGCTGCTGACCTCAGATGTTTCGTGGGTGTTCTTGTATAATGCGAGAAAATTGCAAGCTAATACATTCCCAGTTGAAATGCTTGAATGCAGCAGAAAATTCCAGATCTTCCTCTTGTAAGCCTTCCTTGTAGCACTGCTGTGTCCAAGCAGAGTAGGTAAGAACAAGTATCTAGAAAATCAGCCTATTTGCAAAGAGGATAGGCCAAAATCTTGTCTTGTTTCTTCCTAACTTGCAAATCCCTCCTGTTTATAACTGTGCTAAGTGCTCTGACAAAATGCTAAATACAGGATAGCTCTTTCTGAGAGTTTGTAATCCATATCTGCTTCTTCCCCCTCCTTGTGCTTCCGTTTGGAATCCCAGCAACAATCTTTAAAGGTAAAATGATTCCAAACTACATTATTGATAGCAGTAAGTATCCCATGTCAACAGTGGCATGTGCAGTTAAATTCCCTAAAAATCCTGAAGTATCAGTGTCCTGCTTATAGCCATAAACATCAAGCCCAGAGAAATCTGCATGACTAAATTGGGCAGTTGTTGGGAGCTAAGCTGGGACGTGGGAGACGTGTGTTACTTGCTTTGAGTGGGGAGGCTCTGGCTTTGGCTCTCTCAAATGCACAGTTCAGTAAACTTAGGAAACTCTGTCCAACTCCCAAGTGCTCAGATGTGGGATCCTGGTGGATCTGGGAGTGCTTTAAAATCCAGCATTAAAGTTCAGTGCACGCAGTGGATATTTGCTTAAGGCTGAAGGAGGGTAACTGGCACTGACCCACAAGTCACTCCTAAAGCTTGAGGAACCAAAATGAGCCTGAGTGTATTGTTTGCCCTCATTTAAAATGTGTTTAAAAGGCTTCCCTCCTATCCCTCTGTAAAATACATTCTTCAGTACTATTAAATTTTCATATCACTGGAAAGTCTGCTCTTCCTTGAAGAAATAAGGCCAAGGGAAGTGACCTTGATTTTGAAATACATAATAAAATGTTGCATTCCTATGGTTGTTTTAAGTTCTCTTCTTTTTTCCTTCCCTTTCAAAGACTTGGAAATGGAGAATATGGACCAGAAATCATCTGAAAGTGATTCACACAAACCAAATTCCGAGGAAGCTCCTTCAGAATCTCAGGATGCTGGAGCAGTCAGTGAGGAGCCCGAAGGAGGAGAGAGCTCTGCAGTTGGTGACCCTGACCCTTTGTCTCCTGCCAGCACAGCCAGTGCCAGTGTTTCCATGGCAGATGAGGATCCCCACGCCTCTGGACCTGCAGAGGCCAGTGCTCCAGAGCCAGCATGCACACCAGGGGACAGCCAGCCTCAGGAACAAAACACCCAGACAGAGGCCAGTTCCAAAGCTCACTGGGATAGTAAAGTCCAGCCTATGGAATCCATATTAGCAGACTGGAATGAAGATATAGAAGCATTTGAAATGATGGAAAAGGATGAGCTATGACTTGTAATAATAACTTATTTGTTAATAAACAAATGGAGACCTCTTTGGGTAGAAGTGAGGCCCTGATATCCAAGAAAACATATTCAGTATTGGGATGAGCAACCAGGTGTCACCTGGAAAACAACACAGAATTCCAGCACAGGCTCTTTGTATGTTTTAATTTTTCCTGTTTAAAAATGGGAACGTGCAATCAAAGCATTTGGGTGGCCCCGTGGCTGGTGCTGTGCCCCAGGTAGGGAGGAGCCTGGCTCATGCCTTCCAGGCTCTGAGGGGACTCCTGGGGCTCTGGGAAGCAGGTGAGCAGGGTGGGGTGACAGGCCATGGAATGGTTCTTGATGGGGCACCCATACCCCTCCCCAGCTGAAAGCCTTCCTTACAGCAGCAGGGGAGTTGTTTCCAGGTGTTTGCACAGCTGGAAGCAGTCTGGTTTCGTCTGACATATCACAGTGCTGCTCGTCGCTCCTTGCACCCCTTACCACCAGGAACCACAAGGGGACCTGGGAGTTCCCCTCCTGCTCTGCTTCCAGCTGGAGGAATTGTACAGACCAAAGGCAGAGTGTGAGCAGGTCCTGGCAGGGAGGCTGGCCCAGCCGTGGGGCCACTGGGAAAAGGTGTGGGAAGGTCCTGCTGGAGGCTGAGGGGAAGCTGACAAGGCAGGTGTTGAGCCCCAGGTGTTTCCCTTGGCCTCCCTGATGGAAAACCTCCAGTCTGCCCCAAAATCTGAAACAGTCTCTGAAAGGACACAGCTCCATCAGCTGTAACAAAACCTTTTTCTACAAGTTTGACTTCCAACAGCTTGACTCCATGTTCTTTTTATATACAACTTGTGTATGTGGTGTTTCAGGCAGGGAGGCCAGGGACAGTGAGGAAAAGCAACAGTTCTGTTGAGTCAATAGTTCAGAGTCCAGGGGTGTTATCCCAGGCTCTGGAGTTTGTTACAGGTAAGTGGGAGTCCAAATTTGTTATCCACATTATATTTCAGTAAAAATGGGGAAGTTTAAACAACATAGAGGCATTTTGACTGTGGCCAAAGAAACTGCCAAAACCTAATTAACTTGATTTATATAAACTGCTTTTAGTGTCTTGTGGTTCAAAAAATGGTTTTATATTAAAGATGAAATGAACACTGCCTATATGCTGCAGCAGGCTAAAAATGCAGGTTTATGTTCATCATTGCAATGGAGTAAATAAACAGGAAGCCCCACTCTGGACTGCACCTTTGATTTAGCTGGTGAAATTACACGTGCTGAATATGCAATTGTTAATTAGCACAGCCATACTCTGTATTTATACTCTGTACAGTGAGCAGGGCAATCCCAGGCATGTTGGATCCATGTACTCAGCCACACTTGCTTTCAAAAGTCTCAGAATGCACAGGCACCTTTTGAGAGCATGGCAGTCCATCTAAATATCATCCAGAACTTTAAATCACCAGGGTAGGAGGGAATTCGAGGAGGAACAGTGAATAAGTGTCCTTTGAAAGAAATTAGCTCTTAAATGGAGTTGTCATTCCTTTGCACAAGTAACTGTCTGGAGGCTTGGACTTGAAGCAGCTGAGGGTTTTCAGTTGGGAATGTTTTTATTTATGGGTCTTGTTACATGAGTTCATAGAAGGCATTTGACCAGGGGAGCCTTGTAAGTGTCCTTGGTTCCTTGGAGTGCCAGGACACAGCCAAGTGCAGGATCAAACCATGAGGTGCAGATCAAACGTTTTCACTCAGAATTCCATTGATCTGTCAGTGCTCAGTGCCACAAAAGGAGCATCTTAGTTCCCATGCTTTTTGACATGGACATCATCTTCCTTCTTGGTAGCTCTTTTGGTGGAAATAGAGTTATTTTTATATCCTAGAGGCCTCTGGTCATTATTATCTCAAAATAGCAGCTAAAGGTTTTCTTTTTTTTTACTTGCAGATTTAGGTGTAGATGTCAAATTTTATTAAAAGGTTAACTTTCCTTGCCATCACCAGCTCATTTTTAGTAACTGCTTTCTCCGCCTGTTATTACAGCAGCAGGCATTACCTTTCAGGGATCCCAGAACTCCATATGGATTTAGGGGGCAGCATTTTGGTGGTGGCCTACCTCAGATTACTGTTGCCTCCTTCCTTTTGAAGTGGTTTTTGTTTCATTTAGTTCTGCTTCACCTTTGAAACCATCACAAGAGCCATAGCTTCGTTTACAGAACTGAATCGAGCAAGGTTGACCTTTTGGGAAAGAGGATTAAATTGGGGGGGACAGTTTTATTCAGGTTATTTTCACTTTGTATTTCCTTACGAGGACATAGGCTTTAGTTTAACCTGTTCATATCGTTCTGGAAAGAATTCAGTTTTCTGTTACTATCGTCTTAAAAAGCAAAAAGAATGTATTCATCAAAAAGAAAAGCCCTTTTGGAAAGGGGAGAGAGTGTTCTTCCCAAGTGTTTGGAAGTCTGCTCCCTGCATATGGAATATTGCTCACCATTAATCAGGAATCACCCTTAGTGTATAGCATTGTACATTTCTTTGTATGGTATTGAACACTGAAGAATTCAGGAATCACAGCTGCAACTAGCACTTATTCCATGCCATGTAAGTCAGATCAGCCAATTAATTTCTCATTTGATCTTAGAGGAATCTTTTAATTGTTTACATTTATTGTTTCTTAATGAAGTTTGAGAATGAGCCCAGCTCTGGTTCTCCTCCTCCTGCCAGTGTCCCCGAGTAGGCACCAATGAGTGTGTGTTGAGAGGTGAAAAACAGGACATCTTATGCAACAGGCATCAGTCAGAACATAGAAAACAAACCATTCTGTGAATGAAATTGTATGTTCAGATTTTATAATGATTTTGGTTTGTTTTTTTTTTTTTTTTTTTTTTTTTTAGCCAGACCATTTTACAGCCGTATATTTTCTTATGGAAGATGTCTAATAACAGGTGCTGTAACACTATTGTTGGGTTTTACTCTCTGGTGATAAGTGTACCCAATATTTCTAAGGGCAACTATGTACTGTGATGTAAAAGTCTGGGCTAAAATGTACATAATCCGTGTACATAATTGTGTACTTGATTATAACTGCTGATTGTAAAGATTTAATAAAATGTAAATATTCTGGTCAGGCTGTGCTGAACTGCTGCTCATTTCTGCATTGCTGTGGGCTGTCACTTTCAGCAAGGCAGTCACACCAGTCCTTCACGGGCAGCCTCGGTGCTGGAGCCACCCTGGAAAACCTGGAATTTTTCCCTGGGAAGTTGGCTGAACCCAGAGGTATTGTTATAATCAAAACACCACTTTTCAGTCTAGAAATGAAACTGGACAGGCTCTCAGCAAACAGATCTAATGGGACTATTTCAACCTCTCTTCTCTGACTTGAGCATTATTTTATGCTTAAAATCCAGAATCCAGACCCTCAAAAAGTTCATTTTGACTGCTGCATCTGTTATATTTAGAATGAAAAAAACAGGTCTGATGAGGTGAGTTATTGAGGGGTGTATCCCTCATCCTTCCTCTGTAATGAGCATTCCTCCACCACCTCTTCCTGTAAATTTTTCCTCTCTGGAAGTTAGGATTAAGAAAATTAGGATTAAGATGCAGGAGCCCTAAAAATTCAAGCCCTTGTTCAAGTGCTGAGCAGTGTTTATGATGTGAAGTAGAAATCATTGCCAGCCTTGCTGGGGAAGTGCTAAATTCCTTCAGCCTACTGTTTCTGTGTCCTGGGAACATCAGGGCTTAGGGACTGGAGTATTTTGGAGCAAAGGCCCTTTCTGCCCCCTTTGAGAAACAAGGGACACCAAGTCCTGACCCCTCCTGTTAAAACTGTATTAATTAATTTATGCCAGTGGTTGTATTGAGGGCCTGCAGCTCAGCTGCCACATTCCATCTTCCATGCAGGTCACCCAAAGGTGTGACACCTTCACCCAAAGCACGTGAGCTGCTCTGACCAAAACTGAGCCACAGCTGCTGCTCATCCCATCAGTCACACTGGCTCAAAGCTGCCAAATGGAAAAAGTTCCATTTTCTCGCCAAGTGCTGCATGCAAAGGTAATGTTAATTACCATTTCCAGCTGGAAGGGAGCCTATAGAACACTGCTGACCTGCAAAAGTTCACCCAGGCTACTAATGCCCAGCACTGGCAAATTCATCTTTCTTAATGCGTTGGTGGAGAGCACAGAGTGATGGGCTGGGGCTCCTGCAGAGGAATTTTAGCCAGAATTGTGCCAAAAAGCCTGTGTGGTACCCAGGTGTTTTTGGCAGCAGTGGGGCCACCCCGGGATGTCTCGGATGCCCCACTGGCTGCCGCTCCAGGACAGACCTGATGGCAGCAGTGCAGGGCAGAGAATGAGAAGCAATCCAGAAAACCAGATTGCTCCTTACAAAACCCAGCCCAAACCCTGCCCCAGCGTTCCTCTGCCCTTTGCCTGGGGCTGCCATCAGTCAGGAGCTCGGGGCTGGGAAGGAGCCGGCAGATTTTGGGCACAGGGGACACGCGGAGGTTCAGGGAGGGACACGGAGCAGCAACGTGGGTGAGAAAAAGGATGAGCTGGTGATGCTGAATTTGATGCATTTCAAGATTTCCCCATGGACCCCCTAGCAGGCAGGTTGATGGTTTGAGACGTGCTTGAGGCTCCTCTCTGCAGCAAAAGCCATTTCCTCATCATCCTCTGGCCCAGTGCTCCTCATGATCGAAGAAAATGAGCAAAAAAAGCTTAGAAAGGCCTAAAAAGGGAAATCTGGGGAAAGGATGCTCAGGTGAGGACAGAAAAGGCATCTCCACCCCGTGCTGGCTCTCTGGTGCTTTTATGTAATGGAGCACGTGGCTCTCCACGTTCCTTGTGGGGCTGGACACGGGTTCTCCGGCTGCCAGGCTGGAGCATCTCCCTCAAATGATGTCAATCTTCACTGCACTGGCATTACAGCATCATAAAAAATTACAGAGCTGCTATTTTGGGTAGCAGCTCTCTCCGAGTCAGTGAATAAATGCAGCTCCATATGACTCACTCCGGGGGATTATTAATAGACACAAAAGCAGAATGCCAAAACCCCAGGAATATGCTCTGTTCCCACATGGAG